TGCCTCCGAAAATTATAGACCGAGGCCTCGAGGCGGCTGCCCCAGGCCCTGTCACCCCCTCCCGCCCCCCATCAATCCCCCTGCACAATGGGGCCGCCGATGACTGATGTCCGCGAAAACGACTTGCGGGGAAGTGGCGCTGACAAACGCCCATTAAAGGCGGCGCATAATGAAGGGGCCGCGGAGCGCGGCGGAGGGGTCTGGGCGCGGGCGCGCGTGGGGGACCTCGGCTGGTGTGTGCGCCGGGCGATTCCTGCAGGAGCCGGGGCGCTGAGCTCAGCCTCCCCAGGCGAGCGGCGGATGCTGCGGGACCGCCGGGCCGAGGTGCTTTATCGTGTGTCGCTCCCGGTCGGTCTGGCAGACCCGCTGGCACGCGAGCGTCAGATTTGCGCCCTTCGGATGGGCTGGAGGGTCCTGACCTGGCAGTGTCCACAGAGGGTCTGGGAATCGGGAAGTGGGCACAGATCAGAACCCCTGGGGCAGGTTGAGCAAGACGGGAGAGGAAAAGCAGGGAGAAAGAACAGGAGAGACGCGAGAATATATGCAAGAAAGATGCAGGAAGAGAGAAGGAAAGACAGGCAGAGACTCCGAGGCAACAGAAGCACGGCGGTCCGGTGGCTGCACAGAAGGAGGAGGAGAGCAGAAACACCCCAGGGGCAGGGCGGTACCCACCTGGTGGTCTGGAGACAATGGTGTACATGCCTGAGGGTGGCAAGTGGGGACAGCATGCACCTCGGGGTGCCCTTAGGGAGAGGGGCTCCAGGTGGTGCTGGGAAACCATCCCCATTCCCCTGGCTTGCTTCCTTGGCCTCTCAGCCCGGAGGTCCCTGACCAGCAGCCCCCAGGATATGGGTGAGCAGGCTCCAGCAAGAGAACTCTAATGGGTTGGGGTCTAGGGCTCCACCCAGGCTTCAAGTTGGCTACGGATAAGCCAGTTGCCATAAGGCAGTCCTATCCCTTCCATCTGGGTCTGGATTTGGGGTCCTGGGGAGTGTGCAGCATCCCAGGGTACGCCCATAAGCTACAGGAGCTAGCGCACACATAGAGGTATTTCCAACCACCATGACCTGACACCCAGGGCAGCCTGTCATCTTTGAGCCCACTCCAGCATGCCCAGGGACTGGGCATCCCCAGAGGTGACCACTGCCAGCCATCGCCCAGTGCCTCAGTCCTGGCTGAGGTCTGCGCAGTCACTGCCTTCGGGCTGGCTGGTGAAAGCCCTTGATCAGCCTGAAGAGCAGGCCACAAGTTACTAGAGCCTCAGACTTCAGCAGGGGTGGGATTTGCTTTACAAGGGACAGAGGACAGCATAGGGACAGACTAAGAGAGGATCTTGCCGAGCAGGACTGCCTGGGCTGGAACTTGCTGGGCACTTGAACTTCCTAAGAGAACACAGAAGATTTAAGTGTAGCAGCATCCATTCCCTGAACACTGCTTTTGAGAGTCAGCTACCTCTCCACTCGGGGACTAGATGAGAACAGAGAGAAAGAGAAGACAGGGCCTCCCGCTATTTCAGGCCTAGCCTCCTCCTAGTTAGTGTCCCCTAGAAGACAGAGGAGACAGAAGAATGGGGTGGAAGGAATCTGGGCCGCAGCCCCTACCCTGCTTCATACCTGGGCCCCCCACATTTCCCGCGGAGGCCTTGGCCCTGGGCTCTCTACCCTTCCCTCTGCCAGCCTTTGGCCCTCCTGTGTCTTCCAGCACCCTAGAATCCAGGGTAGGTCGGGGCCAGGGCGGCTCCCCCATGGAGGAAAGCTCCCAAGAGCAGGGGTTGCTCCTGGGTCTGTTCCCTGTTGCTGTCGACCACAGCGGCAGCACAGGACACACTAATGAATGTCCTGGCCACTTCCCTACAGTGCGGCCTTGGCCTTGCCGCATCCACCCTTGGAGATACTCCACGAGCACAGCCGGAAACGCAGTGGAGTGAGTCCTGCTGCCTTTGCAGCTGCCGTCCTTGGGGAACACAGTTGATTATTTGAGCCTCCCTCCAGGCCTTTAAGAAGGAAGGGGTGCTGCTCGCCCTTATGCCAGGATGTAGGCTCTGTGGCCTCAGAGCTTCCCACGGGCCCTGGCTCACTGAGGTCCTCTCTTTGGTGGCCTCTCTGAGACAGCAAATCTCCCTGGGCAGGTAGCCTCCTCTGGGCCTCAGGGGAGCCTCTTGCTGGGCCTCCTGTTCCCCTACACCCTTGAGGATGGAAGCTGCCTGAAAGCTGCCTTCATCCCTCCAAGACAGAAGCTTCAGTGTTAGGGGCACCACTGCCCCATACCTGTGTCCCCAGCCCACTTTCCATAGCCCCTCGCCATGAGCCCTGGCTCACTCACCCAGAGAAGCTGCCTCTCCTTGCCCAGCTTCTCAGGCCCAAAAGCCCCCAGGACCCACCTCTGCCGAGCACTTGTTTCCCACTCTGTCCACTTCTCATGTGGGGTGTCGTTTGCTTTGGTGTCCTGGTGAATGAGCCTGCAGTGGACATGCTTGGGCACATTTTTCTGTCTGTCTGTCACTCTCCCGTCCCTTCCTCACCCCACCTCTCTCTCCCTCCTCTCTTCCCCTCTTTCCAGTCTCCCCCTCCTCTCTCTCTCCTCCCTTCCTTGCTTCCTTCCTTCTTTTCTTCCTTCCTTCCCGCAATAGGGTTTGAACCCAGGACCCTCACAACTGAGCTACATCCCTAGCTCTTTTTCATTTTTTCTTTTGAAGCAGGGTCTTCCTAAATTGCTAAATCGCCTAAGCTGAACTCACCCCTGCAATCCTCCTGCCTCACCCACCCAGAGTGCTAGGATTACAGGCTCAAGCCACCATGCCTGGTTCCTGGGCACATTTCTCTACGGACTTTTTGGACTTCTTAACGGACATTGTCACACATACTGCCGATGCCCCCTGGGACAGGGATCCTGGTTTCTGCTCCTCTGACTCAGCAGGGACACATCTGTTGTCAGTCTTGATGCTCAGCCCTTATGAACTTATTGGCTGGACAGACAGTGTGGACGGAGCCTCAGCACCAGCTTGAGGCTTCCATTGACTGGTCTTGTAAGTGTGAATTTTTAGCCTTCAGTGCTTCTGGAGTTTTGTCAAAGCCTGTGTTCCAAGAAGCCTCCTGCTAACTATGAGAAGGCCTCCAGGCGGGCAGCTCTGGGGGTGAGGTGTGACAAAGGGATGATGCTATGTGTGTGAGTGTCACTAAAGATTGAACCCAGAGTTGTCCACATCAAGCCACATCCCAGCTCTTTTTTATTTTTTGAGATAGGAGCTCACTGAGATGCTCAGGTCAGGCTTGAACTTGTGATCACCCTGCCTCAGCCTACTAGAATGTGGGATTACAGGCGTGTGCCACCACATCAGTCTGGGACAGTGCTGTGTTGCTCCCTCCACCTGCTACCCTTGGCAAGACTCATAGCAGGGACATTTTTCCTCCACTGTTTTCCTCAAATGCCCAACATTATTAAGTTGAGGGTGCTGTGGTGATTTCATTCATTCGTGCCACCTCCAAGGGGGCCAGACTCCAGCTCCACCCTGGAAGGGCCTTGAGAAACAGGAAGGCCGGCCAATCCTGTGGCTGAGTTGCCCATGCAGCTGCCCTTTGGTGAGTGGGTGAATCTAGTCCCACTGGGGAATGCAGTGTTGGGGGAGAGATTCCAGTGGGGACAGGAAGAGTCTAGACAAGCCAGAAATGAAGGCAGGCACTGTAGGTGGCAGGAACAGCCAGGGCAGAGGCCCCAGTTCTTGGGGAACTTGCAGAAGTGCAAGGTGAGGGTTTAGGGTTGAGTGGGGGCGAGACACGCAGGGGGCAGGGCATGCCCACGTTATGTGAGCATACGGACTTCGCCCCAAAGACAAGGATAGCAGTGCAGGCTCAGATGATGTGGAAGGACATGGTATAGGCAGTGGGCAGTGCCCCACTGGCTGGTGGCCACAGAGCTGTTGCCACGGCGGTCATTGTGCGGGGGCTGTCCTCAGCTCAGCAGTGTCTCTCCAGCCCCTGGAAGCTGGGAGGTGAGAGGCTGCTGAGTAATAGGCAACTGTGCATGCAGCCCCTGCTCCTTCCTGTGCCCACTCACCGCCCACCTGGACAGAGGCTGCGCTGCATGGTGGTGGCGTCCCTGCAGGGCCCAGGTGGCCGCAAAGCTTCCCTCACTCCGTGCAATCAAGGGAGCTTGCGAAACCACATCTTAAGGGCTTTGATTCGATTTGTCAAGAGTGTGGGGCCAGGAAGGGGCAGGGCCACAAGTTTTGGGTCCCCAGAAACTGCCGATTCCCTTGGTGACGTGGCCCATAGAGCTGCCCTCCAGATCATCCATTAGGAGGAAATGAGTCCCTGCCCCTTGGCTGTCCATGGCTGCTCACGAGGCCCCATGAGGTCACAT